GAAAAGGTTTTGATAACACGTTGAACTGGGTGTTTAAATTTTATTTTTTTGTAAGATTTGGATGAATGATTGAATACTTTACTAGTTGGTACAATTTTCTGTCATGATCAGATTCATTTATCATGATATTTAGATACTGAAATTCCCAAAAAAATGAATGTTCCTTTAGAATTCAAGATATTCTCAAATCAGTTGTGTCACACAAATCAACACTCATGAATTAATATTTACGATAATCAACTAACATGTATCTGGTTAAACAGAAGAGCGGGTCAGATAAAGTCAAATAATGTAATTCCAAATACCATTAGAGGCTTGAGTTTAACAGATATATCAAGTATGCGTTGCTAACCAATATCATTTGGTCTGAAATATAGTTCCAGGGTTAACCATCGTTTATCTCGGAAGAATAATGTTTTTCAGAACCATGAATCGGTCAACGTTAGACCACCATTAGAAACCTGGAAAAACTGAAAGACGGCCGTTTCATCGTGGTATGGGACTCATCAGTAGTGTGCAACTGCATCCCGCAGGATTCGAACTCAGGCCTAACCTCTAGACCACTGAGCCGTCAACTAACGGTGTTAATGTCTAACTTCGACCAATTCACAGAGTTTCTCAACTTCATGCACTTTCTTCGGTAGTTACTGTCTACACTCGAACAGTTTGAACTTCACCGGTCATGACTTCCCACTAGAACTTGGAGAAGATTCCTCGCGAATCTAGGCACTAGTGAACACAGGTAGTTTGCATTACGGGGTTGTGAAGATTGTTAAGTTACACATTTTTAAAACCATAAATGTGTAACTTAACAATCTTCACAACCCTGTAATGTAATATGAAATATACAATTATTGAAAGCCATCGGGCAATGGATATGGGTTTCATCTCATTTTGAGAATTATCGACAATTAACCTCTGAAGACTGTATAAAAGGTCGATTCTAAAGCTTTTAGATCTCTTGGTGAAGATGATACTTTTAGGTTAACAAACTGAAATTAAGTTTGTAAAAGTTTTGACTCTGATCTGTATTTTTTGCCTTGGAAAATTTGCTTGAGGAGGAATTGACAACAATAAACTAAATTCTTTACGAAGATAACAATTCAGTAAAGTCTGTGTGTTTAACTACAAAAATTCTGTCTCTTTTGAAGTTCGTATAACATCAGTGATTAAGGAAAGGGTTGCGTTTTTTTGTAAATTATGAACAACTAATCTACCAATGATCGCAGCACATACCATTTCTACGATGGAAGAACTAACTATCTATCTACTTCCGTGTATAGTTTCACACTAAACATCATTGAGAAAAATCACTGGAAACTCTATCTTTCCTGTTTTAAACATTTTCCAGTGGTGTTAAGCAAAAGATAAGCCAAGTAAAACACACTATCAATTTATTCTTAATTAATGGACACAAGGCACAGACTGACAATCACCTAACAAACAGCATTATATACAGTGACAGTAAAGACTTAAAAAGCTTTTACATCTCTTTTTTTTATTGAGTACGGTGAAAACCATATATACAGTCAGTCAATCAGTTGCAATGTAGAACTACGTACGTATGTACATCAGTTCATGTTGTCATACCACATTATTAACACAGAGACGCCAATGTCAAATCAAATCTCATAGTGATAAAGATATAGTAGAGATATTAATGGTAATGAAGAAGACTAGGGTTTGAAGATATTATTATTCAAGAAGTATAAATTCAGTGAGATAAGGTTAGAAAGACAAAGGTAGCATATATGTACAAGTGTAAATCAGATCAGATTTAAGCTTTTTAGGATACTTCTCAATAAGAATAATACTAACTAATTCTGTTCAATAAATGTACAACTAAATTGGATGACTTCGTACATTCGAAAACAAAAAATAATCAAATGAATAAGCACCATTTGAAAGTGAAATTCTATTTTTAATATTTCTACCAGAATATAGTCAAAAATTTTTAAAATGACACATCCTTACATTTTACTGTTGTTATGTTTGTCAATAGGTATGCTGGAAACTACTACGGGTTCACCTTAGTCGATAAACGAGAACGAGACAATGAACTGTGACCCGTTGACACAAAACAGCTAACGAGAAGTTTTGATATAGCGTAGAAAGTATATTCTACAAACACCCAGTAAGCATAATACAATCAAGCAAACAAATCGCGTTTATTTATACATCATGAGAACGTCCTTGGGAGAGTTATAAAAATAGCACACTAAAATATACATCAACCAATCACAGCCAAGGATTTTCCTGCTGGGAAATGAAATCTCAAGGTCAGCTGATCAACCCATGCTCGCAAACGTGAAATCAAAATAAGGCATTCATGAAGCGAGTTTTGGCGATCTAACGTCCACAACAACTGTAAAATGATTCACTATGTTGTTTTAAATGATGTTCACTAAAAATAGAATAATTTCAATATTCTTTTTAAATTTTTAGTTGCATAACATCAGGGAATGGTTGACGTTACACATGAACAACATTCAATGCCTATTCAATGGTTAAGAGGTTAGATATCTGTGAGCGAGACCAAAGGTGTTGGGTTCGATTCTCACATTCGAGGATCATAGATGCGCTCTACTTCAGAGTTACTGACCGGGTTCAGTGCTCCCAGGTTTCTAATGATGGTATAGCTTAGATTGGTTTGTGATTTCAATTATGAGAATTCTGATGTATTAGCCTTATATTCTCTTAGTATTCAACTACTGATGGCATAGTCTAAAGTTTTGAATGACATTAATTAATTATTCTGTGAACCCTTCAATGATCTCAAACGCCTTACTATTTCTCGATGAATTTATAATAAGTGCTATCTCTCAGACCAGTAAAACTGACAATGCAGAATGCAAATATTGGCTCTATGAATGACTAACAGATACATTTGACTAATTCTAGGAGCGGCCAGTTCAATACACGGCACAAATCCATGAAGTAACTAACAGCCGAACTGAGCAGTGTTGGTACGTGTAGACTACCGAGTTGCTGTCCGTGAAGCATTTGTCACCGGTGGCTAGAGACCTTTAATTAAATGGCTCAAAATCGTTTTCAATGGCTCAGGTGCATCCATTCTTCGTCTTCTCTCAAATTCTAATCTTCGGAATTCCTCATCACCTATATCTTTCTCCTTTTGAGTTTATTTCACTGACTTCTCGAATGATATCTCTGAACAGTAATCTTTTTGATTATCACTTATACTTCTACTACATCTAGCACTATGGGATTTGAACTGACGATACGAACTTTCTAACTAACAAGAAATCAAATCATTCTTTAAGCTATTTAGCCTAAGAAATAGATATGCCTTATTGCAAATTTCTAATCAAACTCAATGCTTTCAATTATTAACTCGAATGCTGCTTATAAACTTTGCTAAAAGTAAGAGACGATATCGAAGCCCATATTAATAAAAATAGCATGATTATTATCGATTAGGTGTGATAGGATTTCGTCACATACTATTTTGACCATATACTTTCGCAAACATGAACGGAGGTATTTACTAGGTTTCTGATTGAATTGTTTGCTTGTAAACCTGACATAGAATTCTTCTCTGAAGTAGCCAAGGTCGTAGATACTAGTGTAGTGAAGGAGAACACAGGTGAGGGCAACCGAATTGTAGTTAACGAAAATTACAGAGTTACTCAGTAAAATAGGAAAACTGTATCGTAAACGGTTAATTTGCAAACCTTCAATCCATCATCAATCCATTGTCTGACATTTCACTATTCATACGTTTCATACAAATTCCATTGTGTTCCCACTCTTCCTTTCTTAATCTTCCACCATCTTCTGCTGCCAGACATTACGTTTACACTCACGTCATATACTACTTATAAGTAGCGCACACCACACTAGCTGGAGAACCAGGTAACTTATCCATAAATTGAGGGACCCTTATCTAACAAATGAAAGACAACTGACAAAATCCAGCTGCGCTGAAACCTTCTCTTTATTACTTTAGTCAATCTGTCTTAGTACATCACTAGTCGTATCTCAGGTGAGTTGTAACTTCATAAAAACAGGTTTCTCGCCAATTGATAAGCATTTGTCGGCAAATGATTACAGTTGGATTGTAAACCGTAAATATGAATAACATATTATTTAACTGTTTTTAATCCTCAAAAATGATAAACTCATCGAAACACAACACAATTTCTAATCCAGTCATATAAGGACAACTGTTCTAAAATATCTCTTAGCATGAGTTTCATAGTAGTAGTAGTGGTCTAATTTTGATTAGTATTAAAAAGACTTAATCATTCCTACATTTTTGATTAAATAAAAACAAGTCATTCATTCATTCATTTAACGATCGATAATTCCAGGTCATTGAAAGTAAAACACTAGTGTTTGAAAATGATTGTCTCCAAATGCATATAGATATATATTAAACTCAGGATAATTTGGATTTGATATATATATGTATATATCAACAATTTCAGTTGGTTAGCTTGTGTGATGCAAGGGTACTACTACTATACACCGATAGATAGATAGATAGTCATAGGTGTCTCGTTTAGAACAATGTGTTACTGTGCACAGTTACATTGTGACAGATTAACAACATGCAGATAATCAAACTGTGTCGGTTTATTTATATGATTAGATGACCGAAAAAATAAATACATATATATATATATATGTATTTATTCAGTATTGGACAAACACACACACTAGATAACAACCCCTAACCCTAACCCTAACCGATAAGTAAATACAGTTTTTAATATATATATAATTTCATTTGAACCAATGAAATATGTTCTGTTTCGGTTAAATTTATTCATAACCAAAATTAGTAATGCATAGATAGTAATATTGATAATAATAATACTAATATTTAGTAATATTCAATAATCATATTATTAGTAATGACACATTTGAAAATAGTATATAAACTAAACAATTGGTCATGTTAAAACTTTAATAACCATTATAATTGAATCCGTAAAACAAACAAAAATTAAATTCAATTATCATTTCGAATAATAATCATGCAAGTGTCATTTGTTTTCACGATTCTATTATTATGGTTACTAAATTGCACTGAACAAACAACTATTTCACGTAGACAACAATCTTCACTACAACAACAAATTCAATTTGCATCACTCCCTGAACAATCAATAAACAAAGGAAACAGTGAAGCGAACAACGAACAAGTAGACGAAGAAGGAGAAGAAAAACAAGGCGGAGCAGAAGAAGAAGGCGGAACACATCGTGCAAAACGTTTATCAGATCTATCACCGCCAAGTACCACATATCGTAATCCATTTTCGGCATTTTTAAAACGTAAACGACATTCAAAATCCACCGATTCACGTGTATCATCAGTAAGAAAAGAATTTATTAGTAGTGGTGATTCAAAGTGTGGTTTAATGTGTCATTTACTTTGTCGTCCCGGTTGTTCAAAAATTTGTTATTCATCTTGTTCTTGAATTGTACACAATCTATCTCTCACATACATACACACAAAGCCAAATTTTAGTCATTTCACACGTTTTTTTTGCTGTTGTCGCTTATTTCATTCATATTTTACTTTGAATTGCCTCAATGTATTATTATGCAATAGTGAAACAGGTTGTTAAAATGTTTCTAGTCATTTGTTTAAATTACTTTTATTCTTATATAAAACATCATGACATTATGTCAGTTAATATTTCATTATGGTACTATGATCATAATATGAACATACAATTTGTCCCATGTCACCTTTACAACATTATCATCTGTGTAATCAGTACACACAATGATAACATCGATACTCCCTGTCTTGATAACATCATCATCATCATCAAATCCAGCAATTTAATAATGTCAACAGACATTGAACAAGATACATATCAATTATACCTTGATGTTCTTTCATTTATGCCTGTAATAAATTGTTATATAATTGAACAAAATAAAATTTTTAACAAGAAACAAATTAATCTCTGTCTTCTTGTTTTTATTTCTCACTGTGTTTGATTGGAATGTTGTTTTAGTGTAGTTGATGAAATCAATCGATAACTGATTATTTAGTTGATATCAAAACTTATACAGGTAGTACGTATTAAACTATAACTTTAGGGATGTAAAGGTAAGTAAGTGGAATAAGTGAATAAATAGGTTTAATTATTTATTTGAAATAGTTTATAATGCGTGATTAAGTTTGAAAGTCAATGTTGTATTGAGAGCAGAAAAAATTGCTCAATGCTAATATCTTCGTTTGCATAATAAATTGTAAGCAATAAACGAAAGTATAAATCAATAACTTCAATGGCCTACGCTCTACGAGGGTTAACAGGCGTAAGTAAAGCCCCTGTGAGGGCTACTGCCGGTCGAAAGCGCGGATGAAAGAGGAGGATAGGGCATGGGGTAAGTGACCCTATCCAGTAGAAAATCAACTCGTTTAAAAATAGCGCTAAACCAGTAAAAATGATTTAAACCATTTGTCCTTTTAGTTAGTTCGAAGCTCTTCATTCATTCATGTTACATCAAGAACACATCGGCTAGAATATTAATGAAACCCGATTCGTAAAGTGTGCATTTGATCGATTGAAAGTATTTTTGATTGATGATAACTGAGCTCAATTTGTTAGTTGATAACATTTTCAAAATTGTTATAAGTGAATATCATCAAAATTCCAGTGATTTCAAGAACAGGAAGTGTAATATTACTAAAATTTGAATATTAATAAAATGTTAGCTTAGCTTTTTAATATAAATATTTAACGAAAACATGATTGATTATGTTTGATTTCTAAAAATTAATCAAAGTATTCTTTAGATGAAGTTCAGATATATATATAGGTATTTCTAATTAATGTCATTGTACGAAAAATCATTTATATGAAATATATTTCACAATCGACATGATATTATTACCATATTGGTGATAATTCATATTTAACCTAGAAAATGGATAATATATAAATTTTTCAAACTCGTCATTAAAAATTTTGTATGAAAGAGGATCATTGGAATTCTTCTCAGATAATACATGCCTGGATCCTGTGACATTCTCATGAATATATTTGAAATAAAATATGTAAAACTGAATATGAACAGTATGATAACTGCCTTGTAGAGTAAGTAATAAGATGATATTGTTCAAAGTTAATTTTTCAGTAAAACTTTGTGTAACTCCATCTGGAGCCCTTCAAAGGATTACTTCCTGTCCCAAGCCCGGATTAAGGAGGAGGGTTGGGCATGGGGTTAGAGACCCTATCCCCATAGAATTCCAAATAAGTAGGAGGAGGGTTGGGCACGGGGTTAGCGACCCTAACCCCATAGAATTCCAAATAAGTAAGGAAGTAAGTAAGCAAGTACAACTTTGTGTATTATAGAGATTTCACAAACGACATTATTAGCGGTTAATTCTTACTCATGGAAAGGTTTAGTAGTTTTCTTTAACCTAATTAACAGCAATCTAGTCATTGTATAGTGTATGAGTTTTTATAATGTGTTTACTGGAGTCCATGAGAGATTGTTTACAATTTCTTAAGTTTGTGGTGACGTTTTGTTCTCCGAGCTGGATGTTTTGATTGTGGAGCTTTTTGTGTTTTTCGTCTGAAAAACATCATCAGCAGAAACTTCAGATCGAAGTGAAGTATTCGAATTTCTCTACGTTTGACTTGTTGCTTATTCTGTCAACCAATCAAGATCGAGGTTAACAAAACAAGCAACAGGTCAAACGTGGAGAAATTCGAATACTTCACTTCTTCGACCTGAAGTGCGCGCTGATAATGTTGTTCAGAAGAAAAAACACTAAAAGCTCCACAACCAAAACATCCCGTTCAAGCGAACGAAACACCAGCCACTACAATCATCTACCTGAGCTACAAAACTTATTATTCTCCCAACCATCTTGAATTTTGTGAAATTTTGTGTAAAATTCTAAATATTATTTATATTATGTACTATTCTATATAATTTAATCAGTTAGGTCAATAATTATTCCATGTCCATATATAGTTTAGCAAAGTATTTCAAATGTCCTTATCAAAATAAGAAACTATACATTCGATTGATGACTATCACATAGACACATACAAAAATGAATGTATATTTTAATTTGTGAATGATCATGTTATTTCGGACAAAATTAATTTTTACACTTGATATTTGAAAAAAAATTACAGTTAAGAAACTTCTTAATTTAGCTTTATTTGCAACCATGAATCGATCAATGTTAGACCACCATTAGAAACCTGGAACCACTGGTCGGCCGTTTCGTCCTGGTATGGGACTCACCAGCAGTGCGCATCCACGACTCCTGCACCCTCGGCATAGTGCGCGAACGCCCTAACCGTTAGACTACTGTGCCGGTACCTGACGGTATTAATGTCTAACTTGATCAAATTCACGGAGTTGCGCAACCTCATACCCTGTATACATACGAACAGGTTTGAACTTCACTGGTTACGACTTCCCACTAGAACTCGGAGAAGATTCCTCGCCAATCTAGTCACCAGTGGACACATGTAATTGCACTGCGGGGTTGTCGTGAAGATTGTTAAGTTTTATTTGTAACCATGAATCGATCAATGTTAGACCATCATTAGAAAACTGGAAGCACTGGACGGCCATGCTAATTTTTCGATCAACTATGAAGATTATAAGATTTGCTCAATGATAAAATAAATTTTTCAATTCATTTCAACAAAAATGAAAATTCTCCCATAGAGATACAAATATTTCTTGTTGTAAATGTAAAATTGAACATTGAATTTATTGGAAACATTGATCGCTGGAATGTTTTTCGTTGTAAATCATTGTAGTAAGGGATTAAAATTGTGGTTTTTTTAATAAATATCGATAGAATGCATTATTGAAGTAATGAACGAATAAAAATTGAATAATTTTCCGTTATAAAGTTAAGGAGATTGTTGTTTAATACTAAAACAATGAATCACTCATTATTGTTAAACTATCATTAGAAACCTGGAAGCAATGAATGGCTTTTTCGTCCTGGTGTGGGACTTATCAGTGGTAGAGCACATCCACGACTCCTGCCACTCGCAAGATTCAAAACCTAGGACTTCCGGTCTTGCACGAGAACGCGATCGTTGATCTCTGATCAATCTATTAATTCCGGGTGACCTCACCCATTTTTCTTCAGTGGTTATTGTGTACACTCAACAGGTTTGAACTCGATTGATCATGTCTTTCGCTTAGGATCCAGAGAATTTCATAAGGATGTTAGTCACTAGTGAGCAAATTGCTCGATTTTTCATTATAGAGTTATGAAGATTGTTATGGTCTAGTGGTTAGGCAATCGTCCATAAGACTGAGGGTCCTAGGCTCTAATGCGATTATATTGACTACTGAATTACTACATTCCAAAAAATTATGAGGTCTTGATTGCTCCGACATCCTTTTTTTTTAACTCTAAACATCTAAGCTGATATTTAACACCTGTATAATGATACTTTGCAATAGCGGTAATCAAACACTCATCATACACACAAACTATATAAATAAAATGACCAAAGTTAATTCCGCGAGGAAAAACGAGAGTACATGAAAAATATTTTTGATTTATTTATGAGAATATACATTTTACTTGTTATTTTATGGTGGAATACATTTTGATGTAGTTGTGCTTGAATGTAATATTTGCTAAATTGTCAAAAGACAATAATGATTCATGTTTCTTATTTTTCTAAATGTTAACCAGTATCAAACAGACAAGAAAAAATTATGTTCGTCTAGTAAAATGTGTTTTTTTCGTCAGTGTAAATACCGATTGTCATCTGGTAAAGAAGAGAATTAACATTTACCAAATAATTTATCAACGTTTTTTTTAATTTTATATAAGATTAGTTGCACCTTTTTAACTTATCCTACACAAAATTTATGTATTAAAATAAAGGCAGATAAACATTTATTAGCATAGAGTTATGAAGATTGGTGTTTTTTCTCTTGAAATCATGTATCAGTTATTGTTAGACTGCCATTAGAAGCCTGAAAGTAACAGACGGCCGTTTCGTCCTCAACAGTGCGCATCGACGACTCTTTCACCCCGCAGGATTCGAACCCAGAACCTTCGGTATTGTGTGCGAATGCCTAACCATCGGACCACTGAGTCGGTATCTAACTGTGTTAATGTGCAACTTGATCAACTTACCGTCTTGCGCAACCTCATATACAGTCTTCGGTAGTTACTGTCTACACCCGAACAGGTTGAACTTCACTGGTCACGTCTTCCCACTAGAACTTGGAGAAGATTCCTCACGAAACTAGTCACTAGTGGGCACAGGTAATTTGCATTACGGGGTTGTGAAGATTGTTAAATTACACATTTTTGAAACCACGATTAGAAACTTGGAAGCACTGGACGGTCGATTCATGGTTTTAAAAATGTGTAACTTAACAATCTTCACAACCCCGTAATGCGATTATTTTGGTGTCATCAAGTAAACGAAGTTAGATCGACTGAGTTATAGCTGCA